GGAAGTGAAAAAAAATAAATCCCTGAGCCGGTAGGCTCCATGAGTATCTCAAAGTTTAATCTTCAGTTCTGACTGGAGTGTACCTTAAGGGCTCTTTAAGCATGAAATGTTCTCATCCCTTTACTGGATCTATTTATATGAAGTGTAACAAGCCGCGTCTTACATGGGCATACGCTGTATAGCCGTTTCTATGTATAGTTGTTTTATGACAGTGATTTACATGGTGTTGCATTTTATTAGTATAGTCCAGGGAGTGACACCTGCGCTCCCTTCCCCCAGTCACAATGGTATATTACTGTACGGAATGATACCAGACTACAGGATCAAACAAATTGCAGACCGAGCCAATAAACACAAAACTTAATGGTGACATCCTTTCTAAAACTGGTTATGTCATTGCAGGCAGCTCTCAGACCCGTGTGCGTATTTACTGTATGTAACAGTGGGATTGAGCTTTCTGTGCAACCTCCGTGTCTTACAATATCTATGACGAGGCTGGTTGGTCAATGTCTGTGAGTGGAACATCCTTGAGTGGACACATTCTTGGAGATATTTAATCCCATTGATGTGTTGGAGATGGTGGAGTGTTTTACGACGGGAACAAATGTTTCATTGTAGTCTTCTCCAAATGGGAGTATCCCTTGGCAACTAATCTGGTCTGGTATTTGTGGATAGTTCCTTCTGGATGGCCTTACAAAAATGTCACCACCTGTTCTTTTTTTTTGTATGAATGTTACAGGGGCCAATCCGTCACTACACAGAAGGTTTTCTTACTAAGAGATGGAGTTGTGTACCCAACATCAGTCAATTAGACACAAACGTTCAGTGCGGGTCTGATCATGATTGGTGGCTGAGAAGTAACAATGTATAAGGCTCTACAAACAAATATTTTTCTCCTGGAACATCCATCGGGACAGAGACACCACACCCCTATATTCAATATATATACCAACAAAAGATTCCATGGGGCTTTTAAGGTATTGGAGAATGTAGGGTAACATAGCTAGACCTTTAAACACAATGTAGTAGATATTTATTAGTATAAACATGTATAAGGCTCTATATGATTGTGCAAAAAATACTTCCAGTACAATCTAGATGTCTCTTTACCCAGGACCCTGTGTTGTTGCATCAAAAGGGGTGCAACTGTTTTCTGGTGTGCCCCTGTTTCTTGCGCTAAACCACTATGGTGGCAGTCAGGTGTCAAAATAATGGGTGATCAGATAATCCCTGTAAAGGTGCCTAGAGACATACAAAAACATAAAGGTAGACATTCCGTGGTTAAATTTTGGCCTATTTCACTCTACCTGATGCCATGTTGTATGTGTATGACTAGCCTAAGACAAACTTTTTTCAATGTCCCTCCCCAGAACAGATGTCTGGTGGGGTGTGTGTTGAATCCCTAGACATAGATTTTGCCTCACCCTAGAAGTCAGGCATTTTCAATTAGGGGTCTGTAAAACTCTAGGGTTTCTACAGAAGTTGACAGGGGTTCCTAAAGCAATATGCAGTGGCAAATTGATCTCCCATGTGATAGCTTTGGGGCCAATGACACTCAGCAGAGCCAGTAACATGCGACCACTGGAACCTCTCCACTCCTCATAATTATGTACTAGCATCAATGATCTTTTAAGCTGTGTATTCTTACCACCGACCACCAATGTTTGCAGCATACTTCCTACTAAGCACCAATGTAAGGGGACCATAAACGTGAGGTGGCATTCTTTCAAATCACCACCAATATTAAGGGACACTTCACGGACTACCATTTTAAGGGGACACTTTGACTACCATTTTAAGAGGACACTTCTCCACTGACCACCAATGTAAAAAAAATGCTCCTCCAGTGACCATCAATATAATGTGACACTTCTACACTGACCACCAAAGTAATAGGACACTTCTACACTGACCAGCAAAGTAAAGGGGCATTTCTCTATTGACCACCAATGTATGGGGGGCATTTATCCCAGTAATCACCAATGTGAGGAGGCACTTCACCACTTATGACTAGTTGAAGTGGGCCCTTCTCCATTGACCACCAATGTATGGGGATGCTTTTACACTAACATCTATCGTAAGGGGCATTCTTAACATTGATCTCAAATGTACAGGGAATTCTTACCATTGACTACCAATGTAGGGGAGGCACTACACTGACCACCAATGTAAGGGTGCCTTCTTCTACTGATCACAAATGTAAGGAGGCAATTCTCCACTGGCTACCCATGTAAGAGAGCCCGACTCACACTGACCACAAATGTGAGAGGAACATTCTTCCCACTGGCCACCAGTCCAAGGGTCATTCTTTTCACTGACCACCAATGTAAGAGGGCCCTTTTCCATTAACCACCAATTTATGGGTCATTCTTCCCATTAGCAGTAATATTTTTTATCAGGGGTTCCCTGAAATCTGAAAATTATTTCAGTGGTTACTCTGGCTGAGAAAGACTCCTGTAAAATCTGTGAGCAGCCATACTGTCAGAGCCTTCTTATCGAATCCTTGTCAGTGGAAATCTTGCACTACCAGCCACACCTTCTAAGCACTCGGCAAGCAGTCAGCCAGATTAGTTTCCCGTTTACCAACTTGAAGTGGCAGATAATATCACAAATATTGCCAGTAAAAATTAATGTGAATCAACTTTTCTTTTTTTAGTATAAATTAACTATGGAAGCTATGCCCAAAAGAAGGCAGACAGAGGGCAAAGGAGTAGTCATCAGTAAGGCCTGTGGTCCCCCCTCAGTTGATCTTTCCCCCATTAATGACTTACCATGCTTGATTCTGCACTGCATCTCTGCATGGTGGCAGCAATCTTGGTAGGGGCAGGGCTTTGCTTCCACATGTCAGAGATTCTAGCAAGGAGAACAGTGCAATAGCACAATAGTGACATCACCAAATCTCACTCCAAATCTCCCGATCAGTCAGAGGCAGCAGTGCTTTAGATGTCATACTGCAGATATATAGCTATAACTAGTTAGGCACCTATGTTATGGAGATGAGTAGAAGGGGAAGTATTATATAATCATAACATACTTCCCTTCCTAAGGTTGACATTACTTCTTCTCTATAGTCCTGTAAATGAGTGTTGTCACCCATGGACAGGAAATGTATTGCTGGCAGGATTACCATTCACCTGGTGATAGCAATATATATATATATATCTATATATATATAGATATCTATATATATATATTACAATAAAGAGAAGTAAAGTTGAAACAGAAAACTAATGCAACCACCACATCTAAGGACTGGTAAGCTATTCAATCTTTGATCTTGAGTGTACATATACTTTAAAGCTTAACTCCTGGCTTTTGTAAAATGTAACCGTATATTGAGGCACAAACCCAATCAGCATTCCAATTTATCTTGAATGTGTTTAGTGGTATTGAGGTCAGGTACCTGTGCTTTGTAGTGCTACACAATGATTGTGCGTTATTGCTCCCTCGCGCAATTCAAATCTATATATATCTAAGAGCTCAGGCACCCGTGGCCATGCACCATAAAATGTGGGTTGTTTTTTTAGCCTGGCAATCTAATGCTGACTTGGGCAAAATTTTTACTAGTGCGTGGCCCCTGCAGGACCCCCACGTTCTACAAAAGTAAATTTTTCAATAAATCAACCAATGGAGTCAGTCTGAAAATTCTACGCCTGAACAGTAAATGCAGGGTATGCGGACAGCGGTACGCTCGCTGCGGTCATAATGCAATAATACAATAGCCTGGCAGAGGGGATTCAGCCCACATGGCAAAATGAGTACATACAGTACGCATGGCTGTATGGCCAGCCAAACCTTTGACTTCTCTCTTGAGGAAGCAATTAATTTGAAAACCTTTGTTTGCTACAAAAGATTTGCTATATCGCTCAGACCGCTCCACTGTCCACTATTTTATCAAATTGTTTTAGTGTGTCCAGAGTGAATGTCCGGTCTCCACTTAACATGGATTAAACAAAACATTTCATGTTATAAAAATTCTGTTCAGAGAAGGAAATGATGCTGAAAGTGACGCTAAATTCAGGAGTTAAACCTAAGTTATAAGTACCTTAACTAATAACAAAAATGTATCTTATTTGTGCATCACTCGGCTGTAGATCCTCAAATCATCTCTGAATTGGTGCTGACACTGTCCTTCCTTCTGAAGGGGGGCTACTTTTGTTCCCCATGGGTCCCTGTGTGTGTCGTAATGTAGTCACCGCTCCAAGCTCACTCCTGTGATGGACTACAATCCCATGTTTAGTTTATTTGTACTGAGATTATGGTCCATCACAACACGGGAGTGCTCAGAGAAGGATTTTAGATGCCCATCATCCCCTTTTGAAACTGAAAATTTGGTAAAATTTATAGAAAGTCAATCGTAAACTATTGAAGTGGGTACTTTTTACTTTGTAAAAAAAAAGCCTGCTGGAATATTCTGGCAATGTAAGTTTCAAATAATGCATTTTAATTTTGGTAGTACATTTAGTGTGTTTTATGTTGTACTTGAACATTTTTTCCTCAAATATCGCTTTGCTGCAACGAACAGAACGAAAACGAAATGAATGTTCGTAGAGACTACCGCTAACGAATTTCGTCCGAATCCGAATCCCGAAACAAAGTTTTTTTCGGATCCGAATCCCTAAAAACCAAATAACGCAAACTCCAAATCAAAACAAAACTAAACAAATTTTTGGCCGGTGCACATGTCTAGTGAGCATTATAAAAATGGTGGAGCTATATTATACCTTTAACAAATAAATAATAGCTATAATAGATGATTAATTGAAATGATTAATGATGGAATGAAACGACTAGGAAGTTATCATTTCATATCAAGTCATCTCAATGAAGCGCACACAATGAGTGTCTTGATCTACGCAGAGTAACAGACCCCCAAATTTGGTAAAGTGTCACACTTACAAAATTGGATTCCCAGTCTCTACTTAGTGCCAGCTAGTTATGATAACCTTGAATCCACCCTACCCAAAAAATATGACATAAACCCAACTTGTTCTTCTTACCGTCGGCCTTTTCCACACAATCCCTTGTGTTTTCGGGGAGTTTGGCCCCAGGTCTTTATACCCCAGGGCGGAGGGGCATGCGGGAAACTCGTCATCTTTGAAAAGGGTCTTGGATGCCAGGCACTGTGCCCGCAGCTCCTCAAAGTCCTGGTTTAGGTATTTCACCGGGTTCTTGGGGGTACCGACTCCATCGGCCGTGGCCCTGTCTTTGGCTAGTTTGGCTGCAGCTCCTGACATGGTGCCTGTACTGAGTGGAACAGTGCAGTAGGGACACTGAGAGGTATAAATAAAGAGATGTCGGAGTCCCACTGGTGCTGGGCGGGGACACAATCTGAGAGCTAATCTCACTAGTGTAAATATGTGCACAAGGAGCTGGACTGGGAAAGGAAAGACACCTATGTGTGAATGACAGCCGATAAGAGGCGCACACAGACTGGATTTCAGGAAACTCATTTGTCTTGGTTCCTTTTTGATCATCATGGTTCTAACACAGTCACACAATTTATTGCGTGTTCAAAATGTGTATGTCAGGGCAACAAAAACATTCACCACGTCTCTGCAAATACATGCACCTGAGCTCCGGACTTCCTGTTTGGGTTGACAACACAGTGCCTTTGCTGCACTGACTCCCCAACCAGTTTTGTCAGCCTTGCCTGCTAGACTAAAGATCTCTGTCTGTCCCTGACCCTCTCTCCACTTGTATACATTAATTTCTTTCCCAGCATAAGCAATGTTTTAGCTTCTGTCTGGCTTTTATTTCTATTATGTGTTCCTATTAGAGTGATTTCCATTCACTTCCTGATAGGACAGGAAGTGAAGGAAAATCTCTTCAGCGGGGCACAGACAATTCCTATCCTTGTGACAACTCACAATCCCCCCCTTTCTTTTTTTTCTATGTTGGTGTCACAAGAACCCGAAGTGAGGGAAAATCTCCCCAGAGGAGGGGAGCAAGGGGGGTGGTGGCTTAGCTGTTGAATCACTGCAGGGAGGGGGAAACTAAGCTGCTGAATTATTGCTGGGAGGGGGAGCAAGGTGAGCTTAGCTGCTGATTCACTACTGGGAGGAAGGAGCAGGGGAGCTGAGCTACTAGGTCACTGTTGAAAGAGGGAGCTTGTGAAGCTGAGTTGCTCGGTCACTGCTGGGAGCTGAGCAACTCAGCTGCTGCGAGAACAGCTTGAACAACATCAAGGTTTCTTCTGTAAAATCTGAGAATGAACACCTCCACAGTACCTGCAGCTACAGAGGTCAGTGAGGGCTTGTTTTAAAGCTCTTTTACTGTTTGCTGAGAATATGTAAGAATATGTAAGCTGAAAATATGCTGATAATATGTAAGCACTTGACTGTCCATAGCCTAGTCACAGGTTTACTTTAAAGGCCAGTTTCAGCCTCTGTGCACTGCCTACCAGCTTGATGTCGCGCCCCCACTACCTACAGTCAGGGTGCTGGGCAATAGGAATTGGACTAGTGAAAGTCCTCTGCAATTCTGCCAATGAGTCCAGAGCAGGGGTGAGGGACCCACCTGTCTCTGGGGATCAGAGTTGGCCACACACTGCATAATGAAAGACAGCAATCCTACTCAGTTTTAGACCTCTTGCATTGATCGGGCCATTTCCAAAATGTTAGAAGGCGATAACAAGCCTCTCAGGCATTCAGAGGTACCTGATTATACAGAGGGAGATTTTCTACATAAACATGTATGCTGGTATGCTGGGTTATACAAGTATCACATCACTCACAATCCATCTGCCATGCAATGTCTATGAGTGACTTAGCTAGGGGCAAGCATACCCATACACCCCCAACCCAATTAAGACACAGCCAGCCGTACCAATGTTTAAATGTTCAGTCCATTCTAAAAGTTTTGGGTGGAGCTCGGGGGATCAATAACCATTTGGCGTCTTACCTTTCGCTAGATAATCAGCAACAAGACCCTGCCCTGCACTCCCCAGTATCTCTCTGATCCTAAACCTTGTAAACTGCTGCAATTAAAGGATAACTTCACATGAGCCCATTTAATGTCTCCAGGAACATTAAGCAGCTTTGCAAATTTAATCTTTTACCTCTATTGTTACTTTAGTTGGCTGAATGAAAGAAATCTAACAGTCTCCTCCTCTAAACAGTGTGGATGGAGGAATCTCCCCACGGGGGCTATTATATTGTGACAGCCAGCACCCTGCCACTGTCAGAACACCCATGACTGCAGCTGATTGGCTGCAGTGACTGTTTGCCAGACAATTTTGCACCCTGCTCCTTCGAAAGAAGTCAATTGAATAACTGACTCTTGTGGAGCCAGGTGGTGCTGGCAGGGCTGCACACAGCTTAAATATTGGCCAAAATTCAAGCAGTGTATGGCCATCTTTGCTCCATGCTTTAACACCTGTTTCCACAGGCTCTATGACAGGCAATTTTGGGTGTGGTAGTTTTTTGCGACTTCACAATTTTAAGGCTTGACATGTTTGGTGTCTATTTACCTAACGTGACCCCGTCTTTGATATTTTACCAAAAAATTGGGGTAATAATTAGGGATGCACTGATACCAGTTTTGTGATATCAAGTACGAGTACCGATACTTATAGGTACGTCCGGTAGCATAGAGCCGTCTTCCCAGGCAATAAGGAAGCCAGGAATGCTTCTTGATTGCCCGGGAAGCAACCTTCATTCTGTTTAGCCGGCTGGATGCTGATTGGCCGGCAATCCAATATGGTAACACGACCCCTACCCTGCAGGCACCTAATTCCCCCCACATAGATCCTTAGCATTACGCTATATTATCAGATTTGTTTGCCCGGCTCGACACTGATTGGCTGGGAAGCCGGATTCCCAGGCCAATTAGCATCGAGCCGGCCAAACAGCAAGGAGCCAGCTTCCCGTCTCCATCTTTCCTCGCGGCACTGCCGGTCAGAGGAGATCTGCCTGTGACCGGAAGTTCTAGTATCGAGAAAGGTATCAGAGCATTTCGGCGAGTACGAGTACTCACCCAATTACTCGGTATCGGCACCGATACCAATACTTGTATCGGTATCGTTACATCCCTAGTAATAATAAATGTTTTATAAGATAACGTAGGGAAAAAAGGTTGTTTTTTTGTGGTATTTTTTTTGTTATATAGTAAAAAATAAAACCCCCCAGTGGTGATTAAATACCACCAAAGAAAGCTCTATGTGTCCCCAAAACATGGTATAAAATTCAGTACAGGGTTGCATGACGGAACAAATGTCAGTCAAAGTACTGCAGAGCTGAATGGCCTGGCCAGGGAAGGGCCATCAAGTGGTTAAAGCATGTTTGCTGGATTTCATTTTTGACCCTTCCCCTTCCACCAAAACTTTAAAAAAAGGTTTAGCTGAAGTTGAGTTTTGAATTGAGACTGAATCAGGATTTTGCAAATCAGAATGAATATTGTATTAATTCCAGAATGATGACAATGGCTGCAGTTTCCGCACCAATAAATCCCTATAGCTCATGTTCTAAAGTTGGAAGCAGTGGTGCAGTAGTGTCACAAGTTGGGTGCCACCATTGGAGGGGTGACACCAAAATGACTGACAGTCATTTTGGTGTCACCCCCTATGAAAAGTCGGGCACTCGGTCATGGAGCCTGACAGTGTCAGGAGAGAGGAGGGGACCCGGTAGCATACCTCATCCCGCCAGTTGGTCCATCACCAAGATGGCCACCGGCAGGTGTCAATAAGATGACCGCACATGCGCGATGTCGACGTCACGCGCATGCACGATGATGTCACGGCAGGGTGTCACCCCTTCTACGCTCCGGGTGACACCCGGTGTTCTATCGAGATGTCCAACTTGTCGAGATCTCCAACTCCCAACAGTGCACCTGCGCTGCCACCTAAGAGTGATGACTCCAGGACTGCAAGCTGCTGGCTATAGATGAACCGGGTATATAAAGCAATGTAACAATTCAGATTTATTTTCTTTTTCTTTAAACATAACACTCAGTATCTCCTTCAGTGTTGGGCAATCTTGTAATGTATCTATAATCTGGCCATCTAAGGTGAATCTTGTACAGGAAATGGAGATAAATACATAATGACCCAGATAATCACTCAACCATCAATGACTTCAATCTCTCTGACATGAAACACAATCAAGCATTCATCACATTCATTCCCCCACGAGCAATAATAGTCCCATTGCATCTGTCTCTGCATGTGTCATACATTGAAGGCAAACCGAACTTCTCTGAAGTCATCAGTCATAATTTACCTCCTCACTGGGGACTCCGGAAATCTTAGACTTGTCAGCGACTCACGTTTGTTTGTCACTGTCACTTTAAGCCTGCATGAACCAACATTCGCAGCTGCTGCAGGGTCACGTCATGTTGTTTGCATGGAAATGCTGCACTTCAGTTTCTGCTGCTTGTATGATGGGTAGACATAGACCAAGTAGGTTCCTTCTCTCAACTCTGCTAGTCCTAAATGATAAAAAAAAGGAGAAATTCACTCTAAAACGTGTCCTGTGAATAGTCTACCTAGACCTTCTGGGCCCCTCCAACAGCTCTGCTCTCCGCACAAGTTATGGGCAGCCCAGTGATGATGTCACTGCTACTTTTACAAAGTAGTCTGGGTGTGCAGAGGCATTTGGTGCCAACAAAATGGACTTATATCTTCTGTGTCTGTAAAAAATAAATCAAGGCAACTGGACTTGCTGTATTTTTCTTGAAGACGTTTTGCTGATCATCCGACCAGCTTTCTCAATTCAGATTGAGAAAGCTAGTCAGATGACCAGCAAAAAATCTTTAAGAAAAATCAGCAAGTCCGGTTGCCTTGATTTATTTTTTACAGATATACCATGACCTGGATGAATGAGAACCTTCACAGACAATAATAATAATCTTGGTTATTGAGGAATATATTTAAATAAAAGTGTTTTAATATCTCTGTCAGATTTTTTATTACTGCCCCCTTTGAGATTTCCCCTCACTGGGTCGAGGTGTCATATGAATAGTATTATGACACCTCGGCTCACAGGCCTTAATGGCATACAGTAGCTCCTGAATGCTATTGTGTTCAATGACAGCTGAGAACGTCAAATGGGCGGAGCAAGGTGTGACGTCACGGCTCGCTCCGCCATCTGTTTACATCCTGGCAGCGGTTACCAGCTTTAAGCTGGCCATACACCTATAGATTATCTGCAGATTTTCTATGGTCAGATGGAAAAAGTGCAACAGATTCCTCCATCTACTCTGTGTGGATGGAGGAATCTCCCACTGAGCCAAGCTTCAG